GTAAGTTGAAAGAAGTAGTAAAAGTAAAAAAAGGATCATTGTTCATGTATAAAAGGTTTAGTGAAAGGAATAGGTTTAAGTTTGGCATATTTAAGATTGTGAGCACAATCATGATGGATCATAAGGCCTTTAAAGAACATGAATTTGGAGTAATTAGATGCATGGTTTGCTTTTATAAAACACAAGGAATATTTTTAATTTTGCAAATTCTGCATATTTGGTAGTGTTGAGAATGAGGGTCAATTGCGGTAAATTTAGGATCTGTATGAAGAGTAGAGGATGTAATTTGAGAAGTTAATTGAAATTCTTGTGTTGTTTAGAAAGCGGTGATTTGAGTAATATTTCTGTAATTTCATTGAAATGTTTCTTGAAGATAATTGTATTTAGAGAAATATCCATTGCTATAGAGCTAGTAGTTTGTTTGGATGGTGTAGTATAAGGAATTTGGTAGTGTTGAGATGTAAAGTTTGTATGAAATTTGCTGCATAGACAAGTAGATAGAGCAGGTTGGGTTGGCATTTTAAAATAATAATGAAATTTGTTGAGTTTGCAATTAGTAGGATTAATATCTTTGGGTAAGATACATAGGGTGAGTGGGTCAGATTCTTTTGTTCTAATACCAAAATAGTCTGGGTATTTGTTATAATAATAGTTGAGATTATGAAAATCAGGATCTTGAGTAGTTAGGGTAGTCATTTTGATGGATTAGATAGTAATATTATTAAAAAGAGCAAAGAAAGCTTCAAAAATTGGTAAAATTTGTTTTGTGTAATATAACACTATAGGTAAACTTTTGTAGCTAGTGTGGCTATAGCTAGTATGACTATGGCTGGTATGACTTGTAGTACAAAAGTGATTTGTGTAAGGTTACTAAAAATAGTAGGTAATACTATTCAAATTTGTATAAATTAAAAGGAATACGGATTTGTAATTATTTGTTTTGTGTAAATTTAATAAAAATTTAAAAAGAAATTTTTAAATAAGATTATTAATTGAATGAACCACTAGTTTTAGAGATTCCAAAACATGTTTGGGGCCGAGTTTGGGTAGGGAAAAAGAGGAAAAAAGAAAAAAGTTATAGAAAGGGGAGTTTGGAGTAATTTGACTATAAAATGGTCAGTTTTTGGCTGTTTGTAATGAATTTTATGTCAGAGGACTTTGTCTTAAGAAACAAAACTAGTTTTCTTGGCAGAATTTGAGTGAACTCAAATTGTAGTTATTTAATGAAGAATTATTTAATTTAATTAGAAAATTGGTTTAGAGCTATAAAACTTATTAAGCATTTTTAATAATTTAATTATTATTAGAATTAAAAAAACTTTTTTTGCAACTTTATTTAAAGATGAAACTTTTTATTTAGTAAAAATTTCTTTAATCTTCAAAGATTATTTTAACTAATAATATTATTGAATAGAGTGGGTTAGTTATTTAACTCAAAGAATATAATAAAGAATTGATTAACTTTAAAAAAAAAGATTCTTATTTTTTATTTAAAATAAAAACTAAAACTCAAAACAAATAATTATTAAGTACTAAAAAATTGGGTATATTAACTTAATTAACTTATAAGTAATAGTATTTAGTTAAATATATTTTATAATTTATATAAATAATTATATAAAATTTATAAAGAACTTAATTTGTATAATAACAAATAGATATAAATTATATTTAAGAATAAAAGCCTAGACTAGAAATCTAGACTATAAGTTAAATTAATTATCTGTGACTTAAATCTAATAAAGTAGTCAAAGCTTATCTAGATTTGAATAGTTAAAATATAGTTAATAGAGGTGTTGTATTTAATCTACATAGTAAACCAGATATCAAATTTATGAGTAGCAAGCCCAGAAAAAGAACAGGTATTTAGATCAGAGTAGAGTTAATTTGGAGTATTGCAAAGACAATTGTAAATAAAAGTATTTTTAATTCTGGTATAAGTATAAGAGTAGTATAGATGAGAAAATTGGTTATAAAGAGAATTAGAAGAAATGTGATATACTTTTTTCTATATAAAAAAGTTAATACAGTATGTTTTCTTTATTTAATTATAAAGTTGGTTAGAAATTTTAAGAAGGGTTTGAATAATAAGCTAGGAAGCAAGAAAATATGATATATTAAAAGTTTGTACAGATTGAATAAGTGGAGTAGAGATAAGATCTTTGAGAGTAGAATAGAGAGAATATAAATAAAGTGAAAGAAGTAGAGGGAGAAGAATGAATAAAAAGAGATAGTTTCAAATAGTTTAGTTTGAGTAGAAGAAGATTGAGATTGAATTTAGAAATAGTTTTAATAATATAGAAGTTAATAATTTGGGTTAATTGGTTGTAACTAAGGCAGATATACTAGTAGAATGGGAGTTAGAAAGATTACATTGGAAATAGTTAGAAAATAAGAATATACTAGAAAATATAAGGTAGAAGTGAAAGTATTTAGATAGGTTATTAAGCAAAATTTGATTTTAAAAGATTTAAGATGATTAAGTTTGGAATTAGTAAATTAAATAAGCTTTTTTAATTATTGTTAAAGTAAAGCCAAGTAGAGTTCCAATCAATATATTGAAAGAAGTATCACTATTCTTAATTGCATTTTTGGAAGACCTATATAGTAATGGTTTTAGCTTTACAAATTTTTTTAATAAAATATCTGGCAGGGCTGTTAATAAAATAGTTTTTCTATTTAAAGAAGAAGTAAAAATTGAATAATTGAGTATTAGAGTAGGGAATAAGATGTGGTTATTGGCAAGAAGATCTGTGTTGAAAGTATTATCAGTATGGGCTTAGACTTTATAAAGTGTTAAATTAATATTATAAACTTTGTATAAATTAAGAAGTATGTGCCAAATAGGCTAGGGGTTAAATTTAAGGGATTTAGAAGTAAGGTGATAATTTAAAATAAGTTTATTATATTTAGAAATTAAAAATTGGGAGTCTGTATAAATATCAACAAGAGAGTTGCAAAGAAGAGTTAAAATAGCAAATAAGATAGCAAGAAGTTTAGCTTAGTAAGATAAGAGCTAGCTAGTAATTTAAGCAGAAAAATTGTAAGTTACAAAGTTATTATGGATTTGGGCCTAGCCAATACCTATTGTGTATTAGTTAGTACTGAAGTTTTTAACAGAGCCATCTGTATAAAAAGTAAAGTGTTGATAGGAATTGTTGGCTAAAGCAATTTGAGTAAAGTTATTAGAGGCACTATTGTTATAAAAGAGTCTAGGTATAAAGAGTCAGAAATGTTAATTGAAAGTAGAGATAGAATAAATAATAGGTTTTTAGAAGAGACAGATAGGATAAGATCAAAATTTCAACTAGTATATAATAGTAAATTGCTATTAGTATATGAATTAATAGCTAAATTCTTTTACAATATGAACTATTTTATTTTAAAGTTAAAAAAAAAAAATTATAATATATAAATAATGCCTATAGATTGTTAAAAAATTTTCCATCTTTTTTGACAAAATAATATTACATGTTAAAAAAGCCAGCTTCTAATTGGTTAACTACTCTATAATAATTCTGTGTTTTCCAAAAAATGAAAAGTTCCCCCATTCTAATGATTTTACTATTTTTAGAATTAGAAAAATCTATTCTACAAATTTTTATTAATTTTAAAAACTAGTTTACTTAATAAAATGTTTTTTTTTAAATTTTTAATTAAAAAAAAAGTTTACAATAAGTTTAATACAGTCAAACCTCTCCATAGTCACCTTCTATATAACCACATTTTCTTTATAGGCTCATTTTTTTAAAACAATTTATTATTAATTTGACCTACATAATTGTCACATTTCTTTACAATCACACTTTTGTATCCCAAGTGTGTGATTATAGAGAGGTTTGACTGTATATGTATGTTATATACATATAAATTTATTTTCAAATTTAAGCATGTAATAAATAAGGCTCCAACCCTGTGAAATGGCGCCGTTTTATTAGTATGTATTATTATGCTACGCACAGTCATATACGGCAAACAAGAATATATTAGGCTCAATGATAGTCAATATTTGCATATTAATACAAAAAAAAAAAAAAAAGAGCACAGAACTCTGACCAAAATTGTAGAATTCTCATTACCTTTGGAAAATTGCCATTTTGTCGTATCTTTAAGCTTCATATTAAGTCGACCCGCTTCGGTGACACCTGGCGCAATTATAGTTGCTATCTCTGGGATAGGGATGGGCAATGTGTAATCGACATGTATTTTTTATATTTTGTAAATTATTACATATTATTACATAACCTTTAAGAGTAATCAATCACTTGAGGAACGAACATAAGGACCGTGCCAACGTGGTTGATATGTCATAAATAGTGATCAAAAAACCAGGTTAATGATTAATAACATAATTTCTTATTATTACCTATTGCAACAAAATCTTAAATAAGGATATATAAGAAATATGTAAAAATTTGCCCATCCCTACTCTGAGAGCATATCCAGACTCAGTTTGTACTTCAATCGCACTGATGTACGCTGCATATTCTCAATAATAAAGTTTAATATCTGGTACTGTTGGCCAGATGCTTACTTCCGATTGATAATAAATATATCACATGCGTGCAATACTTGTCGATAGCGAGACCTCCCAAATTGATATATAAATAGAGCAAACCGTTATAGCGTCATGCCTCATTTTTTTAAATGATCAGAGTAAAATGGAAATATTCATACGGTACAATATACGAATCAATATTACAAGTAGAACCAAGGATAAAACAGGTAAAATCAAATAAACAGTAAGTTTTTGTTTTTTATTTAAATCGATGACCCAACAAGGAAAATTAACAATAATTCTTTAAACACGCCTACATTTTTATTACATCATTAAACAGTATTTAAAGTTAACTCATGTAATGCACGTCTAAATGTAGAAATCCCAAGTCAAGTCACGAGAGTAGATCATCGATGCAAGAAAAGATACAAACTTGCCTGTAAACCATACTCCACGTATTTCGCATTCCGTTTCTGATATAAAGTAAAAGTAGATCAAGTTTTTATGAAAGCTGCCCATCAACATCCATAGGATCTTCTTTTTCTAGTTCAATTAAAATATAATTTAGTTGAAAAACATAAAACTATCCAATTTATAAAACAAACTTACTGTACCTAATTCTTTCAATAGATCAATTGCTTTTTGACAATTATTTTTGGCTGCTAATCTTAAATATTCTAAACCAAGTTCTTTATTTGGTTGCAATTGAAGTTTTCCTCTTACATAGATATCTCCCATACAATACATTGCGTCAACATGATTATTATTAGCTGCTAATTTGAAATAATGAAGAATTTCTTTACAATATTTCTCTTTATTGTTTTCTTCTTTTTTTAGGTCCGAAAGCAATAAAGCCGCATATCGATATTGTGCATCAGGATGATCACCATTAGCAGCTTCTTTATATAGTTGCTTTGCTTTTTCAATATCTTTCTTTACAACATCGTACTCATGATATAAGTAGTATCCTTGCCAATATTTTGCTTTTAGAATGCCAAGTTCTGCATTTTGAACAAAGCATTGCCATGCTTTTTTGTAATCTTTACTTTGATGAAGTCTTATTCCTTCTTCAAGAGGAATATATGAAGAACGTTCTTCAAGTTCTGGCGACACTGGCTTTATAATTCTTGCAGTATTCATCTTGTCAGCGTTTGACGTTTTTTTGTTCAATGACATGTCATTAAAAGTTGAGTAGGTTTCAGTCAAGTTTTCAAGTTTTTGATGTAAATCTGTGATAGATATTCGTTCGTGTGGTATGTGTTTCCACGCTATTTGCCAATTAAATAGAAAATAAACTTCAGCACAAGAAAATAGAAACCAAGCTTTATTATAATTACCTTCACGAATTATTTTAATAAATTCTAAATTAATCTCCTCGTCAACAGGGTTGTTAGAAATTCCATGAGAGAGCTCTTCTCGTTTACCACTTAGTACGTGGTCTATTACTTCTTTAAAATTCCAACCTCCGTAAGGTATTTTTTCATAACAAAGTTCCCAAATAAGCATTCCGAAACTAATTGTGAAGAAAAATAAAGTAAAACTCAATGCAAATAGTCTTTATAAAACCAAATAATTAATACCTGAACATTTCACTATTAAACGTATATCTGTTTTCTTGATATTTTCCATTCTTATATTTATCGATCTGTTCAGGAGCCATCCAGTGGACAATATCAGCTGCAATGTCTTTAAGATTTCTAGAATCTTTATTAACCGAGCGAGCACAGCCGAAATTTCCAAGTTTCGGATCCAGGTTATGTGATACCTGTTGTTTAATACATGCATATTAATTTTTAAATATAATTATGGGATAAAACGGTTGCAAGTTAAAAATGCAAATACTTTTATTTTATATTAATCGTATAAAAAACATACTTACGAAAACATTTTTACATCTCACATCGTGATGGAAGATATTTACACTACGTAAAAATATAAAACCACGGCAAAGATCTCGAATAATTCGTATTTTTTTAGCCCATGGAATATTGTAATTATTATAATGTTCTTTTAAAGTTCCATATTCAGCCCAATCGAAAACCATAACTTCTCGGTTATCAACATATGATAGACCATAAAACTGGAGAATGTGTGGGGATTGACCCAATTTTCCAAGTATAGCTAATTCATGATCAAGATATTCGGAATTTTTAGTGGGTTTACATGTAACTTCTGAACCTTTATAAAATTTCTTTACACGATGGTCTTGTTTATTTGGTATAATAAGTTCACTTAATTCACTTGGATCTATTTTTTGTGGAGTGACATTATCCGAATGTTTAGCAATGTTCACACTTTGAGTCACTAAATCGAGCTTATCAAGTTTTTCGAGAGTCTAAAAATAGTTTAACGAAAAATAACTTTTAAAATTAATATTGTAAGTTTATGCACCTATAAAATAAGATATACATACTTCTTCAACTCCTCTTAATGATTCATCGACTTTTTGATTTTGACTTTCATCGACATTGGCTATATTAAATTGTAGATCATTCATAGATGTATCAAAATCTTTTATTAATTTTTCGTAATTTTTTTTAACTTCTGTTGCGTTGAAAAATTTTCTAAAACCTTCGAGCTTTGACACTTTATTAGTGAAATCCTTAATATTTATCAAAACATTCTCAAATTTTTTAAAGGACAAAAAATATTTTTGAAAATAATATTCGCTGTTATTTTTTTCTAAAATTCTTTTCATGGCAAATTCTCCAAGTGCTACTCGATCCGACATAATTGAGCAAAGTTCTTTATTACATTCCGCACTCTCGTAAATTTTATTAACTTCTCTAACTAGAACATTCAGTGCACTTAAAAAAGGTACGTATGAACCTACAGCGTCATTAGCATTTGAAACGGTATTTACTGCCCCATTCCTGACGCTTGAATTCATATTGTTAAATGTATTGGACATAATTAATAACCGAGTATATACGCATATATTTAAAGTTTGTAAATTGAAAAAAGTTTTTTGTTTGTTAAAAATTTTAGAGTACTGTATAATTAAATTATCGGTATAAAACAAACCGGTTAAAACTGTTTATTTTATTTTTTTTTATTTTTTTTTTTTTTTAATGTTAAAAGTGAGACCATGCAAAACTATGTTTATCTGTGACTATGACTTATATAAATACAAGTATTTTTGTACTGTATAACGATAATATTATTTGTGGTACCGCATGAGTACAAGGTGATATGCAAGCGTATAACACCAGTGATGGAATATGATATAAGTCATAACATATTCCTAATATGACCGAGGTCATATGGGATCTTTGCTAGGATTTTTTTTTCTAAAAATAGATTTATTATGTTTTTCTTAATAAAAATCTTGTGTAACAATGGCTCGTAGAGTCATTTTTCTAGCAAAGATCCCATATTTTTTCTTAAAATTTAAAATTATAAGATATACGTATATTGATATGGTGTGTTTTTATGCGTAGAACAAGTTTACTTAGAACATGAATGTAGGTTTAATTAGTAAAATTTTGTGAATTTTAATATTTTCCATAGTTTTATTAATAAAATTATAAAAATATTAAAATCCACAAAATTGTACTAATTAAACCCACCTTTATGTTATAAGTAAACTTATTCTACGCATAAAAATACATCATATTAGCATACGTTTACCTTATAATTTTAAAGTTTGTGAGAAAAATGCTTAATTTTGGAATTTTTGATCAAAAATTCAAAATTAAGCATATTTTTTCTTAAAATTTAAAATTATAAGGTATACGTATATTGATACGGTGTGTTTTTAAGTGTAGAACAAGTTTATTTAGAACATGAAGGTAGGTTTAATTAGTAAAATTTTGTGAATTTTAATATTTTTTATAATTTTATTAATAAAATTATAAAAATATTGTGATTTTTAAAAGTTTGCCTAGTTAATCTCCTTTAAAGCTCTAAGTAAAGTTATAAATGAGTGTCTTGCAATCAAAATGACGGTTAAAACGTTAAAATCGGCCTAGTAGATCGTGAGATATAAGTACTTTAGTCTTCGCGACTATATATTTTCTTTTTATAAATAAAGAATAGTCGCGAAGACTAAAGTACTTATATCTTGCGATTCAATAGGCTGATTTTAATATTTTAATCGTCATTTTAATCGCAAGACACCCCTCTACAACTTTACTTAGAGCTCTAAAAGATAATTAGTTAGTAAAGAAAAAAGTTTTTTTTTGAGAAACTCAAATATATAGATTATTTATATTGTTATTCTAAATATTATCATTACATACTATTATTAGTAATCTAAACGTTATCGTTCACTAATATTATTGGTTAATATTGAAGTGTGGGTCACATGACTTGAGAAAAAATTCTAATTGGCTTTTATATTAGTTTTCTTATTTGTTTATGTTGATATATTATCTAATTTGTATTTGGGACAAAATTGCTATCCCAAAATCAAATTGTTATCTAGGCTAGCCCAATTGTAAATTGGGCCAATTTGCATCTAGGTTACAACATATATACTAAAATAATTTTATACTAAACTAATTTAAAAATATCTAATATAAATGAAATATAAGTAAAAATATAAATATAATGTAAATTAATATAAATAATATAAATATAATATAAATAGAATATGAATAAATCATTATTATCAATCAACTCTTTCTGACAATCACTTGGATCAACTTTTCAAAACAAAATTTCAAAAACAGTAAATCTATACTAGAAAAGAAGACTATAAGACTGAAGAGAACTATAAACCGGCACCTATTATTTAGAGATAGTTCTCATACACTATCTACTAATAGGTTTAGAGCTTATCACTCACCATGAAGATGACACTTGTTATTTAGAAATAGTTTTTATATGCTACTTGCTAACAAGTTCAGAGTTTATCACTTACCGAAAAGAATATCAGCAGTGTGCTCAGATCTATTCATTTTATTATTCTTGGTGAAAAATATACTCTCTTTTAAGAAAAGTACAAAGTCTATACTCTTTACTATCACCCACTTGTGCTTACAACAAATTTTCGAAAAATGTGGGCAAAACAGCTTACCCCCGTCAAAAGATCAGTATTGTTTACCCCTTTCAAATTCAGTTGACCTGGTAGATTGCAACTACATGTTTTGTTTAATAACAAACACATTGCTAATCCATGTAACAAAGTCTGTCAACTAGTCTATGGTTAAAGGTATACCCGGAGTTGGTCATATAGTCAGAAAGAAACTAATACGTTAAAGCAAAGTCTTATAGCAGGGATATACAGATGTTGCATTTGTAATATAATTTTTAAAGCCTTGTACAGGTTACAATAGTACTATTAGGTCTTTTTTTTTCTTTTGTTGTTTTTTCTTTTTCAAAATTTGTGCTTTTTTTTTTCTTTTAGTTTGTTCATTTTCTTTTTTGGTCGTTTTCGTTAAAAATTTTTTTTTTTTATTTCCCCTTTTTGTCTCGTACCTCTTGAGAAGAAAGAAAAATTAGGAGAGAAATTAGTTCTAATATTTTAGTTCTTTAAGGGCTAATATTGGTTACAAAAGAGTAAAAATCTCTTTTAAACAAAGTTCATAAAAAGAACTTTTTTTTAGCTTGTTTGTAAGCTTTTGTGCTAAGTTGTGCTCATGTACTGAAATAGGTAACTGAGTAAAGTTGGGCTTTAGATTAGTCTTAAAAGTAAATATATATAAATTGTATATACTAATAACTAAAGAGGTCAAGCCATAGCAAGACTTATCAAAGAAATAAAAAAAAAAAATAAATAAATAAATAAAACATAAATTATAATACAATAAAGAGATAAAGGTAAACTATGATAACAAGATAATAACAAAATAATAACAAAATAATAACAAAATGATAACAAAATAATAACGTTATCTAGTAGTCTAGTAATGTTGTTGATATGTACCTGATATAACAAGCTACTGGTGAAGTCGAATACACAACCTTACAACAGTTATGAATGCTCTAACTACTAAACTACTACTACAAGGATTATTAATTTTCAAATTTGTAGACTATTTTAGACAATTTCACCACCAAAATGACTATCTCAATGAGATGATTCTAATAAGCCTAAAATCGCCAAGATCTAATCACAAAATCACGAGATATTTCACTTTGCGTAAAATAAAATGAGTATAACCCATTTTATTTTATCTAAAGTAGACAGCTTTTTAAATATTTTGGGATCCTGTAATTGGATTTTAGTGATTTTGGGCTCGTTAGAATCATCTCATCAAGATGGTCATCCTAATAGTAAAATCATCTACAATAGACCTGTGAATAAAAAGTTATTCACTGTTAAACATTTTGCTATTTTTAGTAGTAATGATACAAATTTGCCTATATGATCAATTATATACAATATATATAAATATATTTATTATATAACTAGATATTATAGAAAGGGTGTGATGACTTAGTAAAGTAGTGAAGTTGTCACACCCCCAGATGACATATCTAGAGTTTGAATTTCATAGATAATATTTTGGAAAAATAGCTCTGAGATACAGTTAATGGCTATTCGATGATCGGTAGGATCTAGAAATCTGTAATCTCAGTCACACCTCTAGAATGGGAGCCTTGGCATAATAAATCTGAGATACTAGAAGAACTGAAAACCCATTTGGCAAGTCCCAAGTTAGGAGGTAGCGTAATCTTTGACAGTACTGCAGGAGGACTGAATTTGAAACTGAAGACTAAGATCAGAGAACTGAGCAACCAGGTCCTTAAGTAGGAGGACATACTAGCCAAATGCTATGTTGCTAAATCGAAGAAAAAGAACATGTGCTCTAGAAGCATGTACCAAGGAAAGGAAGACCATATAGACATCTAAGGTCTAGATGAACCAACCCTTCCAGGTTGCTAGCTAGAAGTAAGAGAGAAACTGATAAAAAATCTAGAAAAGAAGAAAAATTCGAATGTGGGTGCTAGGGTTGTGCAAACCCAAATACAAGGGCAAGAAGTATATAACAACTACTAAAATAGAAAGGTTGTAGTTTGAGATACAGATCGGGTTACGGCAATATTCTAAAAGATAGCTTGAGACATAAACTCTATAGCAGCAACACAACAGGTATTAGATTAGAAAGAAGTTATTGAACATGCAGGTAAATACATGTGTGAGACATGTACTGCTCTGTTAGGTTTACCTTAAGGATAAAGTAGTCCTAGGTAGGGTGTGAAATCTACAGGTGTCACAAAATCTAGCATATGAATAGTAAGTTACATCTTGATTAGATAAGAAATAACAGGCTAGTTGTGATTAGAAAGTTTAAATAGATAATCCCCTAGTTGGATTGCAGGTATGGCAGCTAGTGTGGAACCTTGGACTACTACTTAAATAAGCAACCAAAAGTTGCAGGTATGGCTAGTTGTACTCTCACTTGTAAAAGCTAGAGAGCTTAAATAGATAATCTCCTAGTTAGATTGCAGATATGGTGGCTAGTGTAGAACTTAAGTAGACCACTTAAATAGACAACTAAAAGTTGTATATGTGGCTAGTTGTATCCTCATCATAATTGTAAATGTTGTTAATTATCTAATAAAAAGCCCCTGGCCATAGAGGTCACCTTAATATCAAAAAAAAAAATAACTAGATATTATATAATATAGTATTATAAATATAATTTTTCTTATATAAAGAAGAAAGTATATAATTACAAAGTCTAAAATACTTATATCTCATGATTTACTAAGCTGATTTTAATATTTTAATCACTATTTTAATTACAAGATACTTCTTTACAATTTTTTTAAAAGTTTAAAAAAAGAATTATTTAGTAAAGAAAAAGTTTTTTTTGAAAAAAAATAAAAAACTCTTTCCTGTAAATCTGCAAATCATTAAAAATATTAAAAAGTAAACAAACAAACAAAGGAAGTTTAGCAAACCTAAATAATAGATATTATAACTACTATCTAGCACAAAGTTTTAAACATAAGAGACAA